TTGGTCCAGACAAATTCAGCAATATCTTTTTGGTTTGACAGCCCAAGCCAGAAGTATTTCTCGGATCTCATCCCCACCAGGCTCACGAGGAATGCATTATCCACCCTGAAAATATTTACAAAAATAGGATTCCTGGTGTCAATAATAGGGATGCCAATACTTTATTGATTGTCAATTAATTGTTTTTAATCATTTAAATTTCATCCCACACGGCAGAAGACAAGGAGGTGCGATGTATCTGTCAAAAACTGTACTGTACTGTAGTTGATGTAGTACCAGGCTACTCCACAAGGTGTCTCTTACTGTTTAATGACATGGAGTTGTTGACTGGCCGGTGAAGGCCACAAAGATTATAAAATGTACAGCGTACTGGTGCGTACTGGCTCACTTCAAGCACTGCATACAATATCAAAAGTTAATGACCCTTTTTGTTTTGTTAAATTCTATTTTTAAATCCCAATAATTTTCTTAAATCTACCATGTTCTTACCCAGTTGAAACATCAGCTAAGTAAGAACCTGAACTCTTGCAGTCATCTTTAGCTTCATCAAATGTTTTGGTCTCTGTTCCTATGAAGTAGCAATAGGAACCATGTCTCCTCCAACCCTGGAATGTTGGAAAATAAAAGAGAAAGAAACAAAGAGTATGATAGGATTGTTTACAGTATATAGGCTGTTGTGGTTAATTCATTTTAATGGGGGACCATGAAACATTTGCCATAACATACTATATCTACAGGCACTGACAAGGTTGCTTATAATAATAATCATTATACTAAATATAACAGTGAATGGATTGAAAGCAACACACTCCACCAACTTTGACCTGCAAACAATATGAGAAAAACCTAAATTATTCAGTAACTTTAGACTTAGCCTAAATATAGTATAATACATCTTAGAGTCAAACATTTTTTTACCACAACATTTATGTTTTATTTTTCTTTCTGACCACTTGGGAGAAATCTACAACAAAGGTGCATCTTAGCATTCAGCTGAAGGTATGTTTCTTAAGGAAATATCTTGCCCTTAAACTAAATGGGGGTCCACTGAGTTTACCAGCTTACTTGTTAAATTTGGCTGATTACAAACAAAAGATAAACATTGATAATAGATTATAATAAGTAAACTTAACACACAGTTTTGCAGCCTGGTTCAGCCACTGCAGCCACTTCATCTCCAGTGGATTGTGAGGTACTCATCTTCATACAAATGAAGCCATGTTTTTCCTCACACACACGATCAACCCAGTTCCCTTTCTGAAACAGAGTACCATAAAATATTTATTCATTTATGTGGTGAATGGAAGGTACTGCTGTCAAAGTATTGGCATACATAAAAAAAAAGTCCTTAAAACACTACAAATTTCATATTCTGTAGATACAGACATATATAGATATAACACATTCATTTAAGTGAACTGTGAGATGTAGCTGCAATACTTTGTGTCATTCGACAAATTATTTAAGGTCGTTTTCTTTCAGCATGTGTACACGTATTGTACATAAATTGTTAATACGTGCACCATACCCAAATAATGCTCCTTACAGTACCTCTCCCCTGATGAGAACACAGTCCCGTATGTCAGTGGAGACAGCAGGTTTCCCAAACTCCCAGCTGGTGAAGCTGACAGTGGAGTGGTCGCTCCAGTCAAACAGCCTCTCTGTCTTCCTGTCATTCAGTCCAATCCAGAGCTCATCCCTGGATGCTGCTGACATGGACAAAAGAAAATTATCTTTCCATAAACTATTTGCCAGTTGCTGACTCAGTGTCATCAGTTAGTCCATTCATGATTCTCAATCACTGACTCTTCCTTTAGCTGACTAGTACTCTAGTCATATTAAGGAGGCTATGGAATGCAGCTGTTATAACTTGATTATTGCTCTGCCAAAAATGTCAACACTGTTTGCTTATGGGGTCACTGTCTACCTTTTGTTAGATAGCAGTAGAGGCAATGCAACATAGGTCCCTGGCCAGACTTTTGAATTTAACTAATATTTACAAGGTCAAGAAAAAAAAAAGTCAAAAGAAAGGCTTCAGGGCTTAAAGATGTTCTCTGCTATAACCATTTCTTCCTCAGAGACAAATTTTGTTTGTTGTTTTTTTTTGACTTAATCTACCATATCCAAGTTGAGAGATGACAAAGCTTTGGTCTTCCACATTGCGGATGCTGACAAGGTCCCCTCCTTCATAACGGCACTGTCTCTGAGCATCAGACCATGTTTTCTGAGTATGATTAAGGTGGAAGCAGTGGCCGTTGTAGGGCATCCAGGGGCTTGAACAAAAGCTTGTATGAACACCTGATTAAGAAAAGAACGATGAAATATAAGAACTGAATGATGCAGTGTAGCTACAGCATAAACAGAAAATGTCTAGAAAACAGTACACTACCTGGTGAAAAGTTTTAGAACACCTTCATTTATTCAGTTATGATTAGCTGAATTCAACAATCTTTCTGCAACTGAACTATTTTTCAGATAGACAGCATTGGTGGCTCAGTGGAACAGTGATTAGTGCTGTTGCCTCACAGCAAGAAGGTTCCGGGTTTGAGCCTGGGCCGACCCAGTGCCTTTCTGTGTGGAGTTTATATGTTCTCCTTGTGCCTGCATGGGTTGTCTCCAGGTACTCCTGTGCTTCCATTCCATCATTTGAAGCCTACCATCTTGTCCTTTTGTTTGTTTGTTTTGCATTATAATTCTGCTATAGGATGAAACCCTGAAAAGGTCTAACTTCTTGCCTTTTTCCAACTAATGCTTTAAAGGGTGGAGTAACAGTCTTTTCCAATGCTGTCTTTGTACAGATAGAATTTGTTGTTATAAGTCTTCAACAAAGGTTGGGACACCTGTAGGAATTGTTTTGTATCATTTTTCAAGGCTTAATTCCACTGCTGCAGAAAAGATTTAAGTTAACCTGAAAAAGGTTAAGTTAACTTGAAAAAGGACTGTTTTACATGAAATTATGCACATTTTAGAAACATTATACATACTTATTTATAACTGCTTAAATGTCAAAAAAGGAAAAATGGGGTGTTCTAAAACTTTTTTTTTTTTGTTCTGTAGGTGTTTCTCTTTACTCTGTGTAGGTGTTTCCTCCGCTTCTTTACTGTAGCAGATGTAGCCCAGTTTCTTGCTGCATGGTGAACTTTGCCAGGAGAACTGTACAGTAGCATCAACAATTGCACAGATGTATCCTGGATTAGGAAGTGGATGTCCTAAATCAAGAAAATAATTATACTTGGCATGCTGGTATGTCTTATACTCCTCCATGAACTGTAGAAAACACCCTGTGGTATAAGACTGTGGTAACAAATATACACAGTTTCCTGGTATAGATTTGAACATAACAGAAGCTCAGTTTACTTAATCTGTAGGTTGCATTGAAAAAGTTCAAGAGTTCTTTTTACTTGCCAGCTTCCTGCAGTTGAGATTCTTGGTATTGATTGAGGATGGCTAATCAATTTTAATTGTTGATGTTATCATTTTAAATTAACAGTATAGAAACATCCATTAATGGGGAGGGAAACCCTACCTGAGTCCCATTTCATATAACAGTAAGGCCTCCCATCAGACCATTTCCAGCCATGCTCAGGATCCAC